GCAGCACTTGAAGTGGGGGCCAGGCAGCCCCTCCTGATAGGAACTCACAAGCCACACGCTGCTTCCCTTTCCTGTTGTGACTGGATGTGAGCTGATGGGTGCTCAGAGACTCATCCATCACTGCCTCCTTCCCCCCACCCACCAGGCTAAGAACTCAGCCTGGCAAGATTTAGAGAAGCCTCTAAAAATAGAGCACACCTAAAATGCAGCTGATAGGAACAGGAACTACCCTGTGGTGTTGCTCTAATCCCAACCATCAATGGGTTTGTGGCTCCAAGGGATGAGCCTGGAGGGGAATCCACTGCCCTGGTGGCCTCTCCTTGTGTCACCACTGCCTGAAAGGTGAGACAGATGGATGGAACAGTGCTGTCATCCACAGAAGCTGCTGGAAGTGGTGCTAGAGTTAACTCAGCCCTCCAAAGCCCACAGAGCAGCCTGACAGAGCTCTCAGAGCTACATGGGGCATTAGGCTGTAAAAATCTTAACAGATACTGGCTGAGATTCAAAGAAATTGGGGACAGAAGGTGAAGCAAGAAAAATAGATGACAAGGCAACCTCCTGGGGGAGAGCAGCTGATACCCTTTGCTTTGCTTGTTTCTCTACTGGCTCCTCCCTGGGACACCCTGCAGACAAGCTGGGACTGTCCAAACTCATGAATCTCCTCTGAATCCATGCAGGATGGTTTCTCTGCCATGTCTTGCATCCTACAGGATGCTCTCAATTGTCTTTTCCCTCTCCCAAACTGAGATGTTAAGAGACAACAATTACTGAGAGAGGCTGAGAGTTCTCAAGGTTGAGAACTTGCTGTTCAATAGCAGCTTATTGTGTAGGTGGAAATTCCTCAGGAAACCCAGTTCTAAGGAGATTCTCCTAAATTTGGCTTTTCCCAGTTGTCTGGGCTTTCCTAACAGGATAGAGATAGGGGATAAAAGTCAAGCAATAAGGAAAATGATCCTCTCCAAAGAATAGCCTTTGGTTAAAAATTGACCACTACATCCAGATGTCATCTCTACTGCTTAGAAGTGAGTCCAATTCTTGGAGCTATTTGGGTTCTTGGCAGGCAAAGTGAGGCTATAGTCTGGGTCCAGCTGGGAAAAAGGCAGTAAAATCCTGTCCTGTGAAGGAAATGAAACAGGAATCTGAAGTCTTGAAGAATCTCTGGGGTAAGCATGAAAGGTTCCTCCCTGTTCAGAGCCATCGAACTCATGTGCACAGCTAAGTCCAAGGAATTAGCATGGGCTGCATGGAGAAGCTGTTCAGCA